ATAGAACTTGGTTCAGGGAACATACTAAACAGTTAAATCTACAGAGCTGACAAAGGACAGGAAGCTGGGGTGAGTGCTATATGCCTATAATCCTAGGTCAAGCCAGAAGAATTTCAAGTTCAAAGCCAGCTCAGGCTGCAGACCGAGCTCAAGGCTAGCCCAGGTAAATTATAAAGGCCCTGTCTCAAAAGAGTGGGAAAAAAGCGGGGGGATTTGCTCAGTGGTAGGGCGTTTGCCTCTTATGTAAGACCCAGCTTGGACTCCGATGTGGTGAAAAGGGGTAGGGGTTGTGGGGAGATGTAGCTTTTCCTTTGACCTTCTCCGCAGATCTAAGAAAAATCTCCCCTCCCGCACAGCGCTGCTTTGTGTGGGCTTTTGTAGTAAGTAGTTCCTTCTGAAATTTCTTCCACATTCAGTCTTCTGAATAAGAGAAGAGCAGGCCCTCCCTCGCCTGCCTAGAACTGGTTTGAGGAGGAGGACGGCCCTCGTCATCCTGACAAATGGTCACAGGTCTGCAGCTTTGGGAGACAAGGTCTCAGTGTCAAGAGCCCCTGTTTCCGGTCTGCGAACACAGGGAATGATGCAGATCTTCAGGTTCCTGGAAGAGGGCTTATGACTTTCTCACTTTTTCTTTTTACTTAGTCTAATGACTCATATTCCAGATGGTTCTGTTCAGATTTAGAATGATCACGATCCACTCTGTGTTGGTGGCAGAGGGGGGGGGTGGTTTGGGACACTGGCATTTCATGTACAGTACAACTTACATAATTTTTCTTCAGGGAGCTGGGGGAGATATAGCACACTCAATGTTAAGCATTTCTGATTCCTTTAACATTAGAAGATATCAGATCTCAGTAGTTCATCCTTGGGGTGTTTTAATTTATATATTTAGTGGCTAATTTCCTCTGTCACTAATGGATTTTTATTATAAAAGAATACTTTAATGCTATTGAAAAATAGTCAAACAAAGGATCGTAAGTCTAATATACAAACTAATAGAGAGAATACAATCTGATTTTTAAGAACAGCAACATGAATTTTGTCAAACGGAAAAATATCCCCAAATATACGTTTTGTCACTCACATGGTGAGTTGAAATTTTTAAATATTAATTTCTTTCACATACAGTTTATATTAAAGAACAGCTCTTCTTTGCTGTTGCTCCCAGGGTAGAGCCCTGAATTGGGGGACTGGAGGGCTCCCTGTGAGGATGTGGCGCTACCACTGTCAATCAACGTCATAAGCCACCTTCCTTTTAGATGTTTTGAAATACATCCCCGTCCACTCAAATGAACATTTTATGGTCTGGCCTTTAAACATTTCTCAAGGGATAAAAAGTTGGTCATTGTCCTGTGGTGCTATTGAGAAGAGGTTGATGGGGGGAGCCAAGTGGGAGGAAGCTAAGTCATTGGGAGTGTGCCCTCGGACAGGACAGTGGGACACCTTGCTGCTCCCCTGTTTCACCTTGCTTCTTGGTCTTTTCCTCTACCCCACGTTCTATACCATGATGCTCTGCTTCAACACAGGCCCAAAGACAACAGCAGGGCTGAATACCGTAGACTGAAACTGACCCTTGGAAGTCCAGGGTAGCCCAGATGTTTTGTCATAATGATGGAAAAATGAGTAACCAAGACACTATCAGGATGAGAGAGAAGGTGGATTAAGTCGTATGCTTCAGTAGTAGTTAGGATTTTGCAAAATGTGAGCAGCACTTACATTCAGGAAGGTGTTAGAGAATTCCAGTGATTTAGTTATTTCTGTCACTAATAAGACATCCTTCAGAAAATGTCTTTTTAGTCCTTCTGGGACTAGTGACAACCTTCAGATAATGTCCTTCCGAGGCTAAAATGTCAGAGGTCCCTCTTTGACTGCTGTAGGCACTGGCATAGGATCCATATTGCAACAGTTACTTTACACTGGCCATCTCAGGGATGAAAAATTGAAATAGCTCAACTTACATCCTACTCTAGAGGTAATGGGACTGTATAGATCCAGGCTTTACTTTATATGCATCCCTGCTTTTTGAGCTGGGCATCAGGCACCTGGCCTGAATGTCTCTAAGTTAACAGGAATGTTGGAGATGGGCCTAGCAGGAGGAAATTGGGTTATTGGAGCTGTGCCTTTGAAAGGGATGGTGGGATGTTAACTATCATAGATCTGGAAAGAGACTCCTTGCCTTTCCAGTTCAGATCAAAGTTCTACCCAATTTTATTCTTCCTAACAAAATGACATGTTAATTTAAAAACAGTCAATGGATATATTTACTGATCATTCCTATGGAGACTGCTAAGTAGGTGAATCATCTTCTATTATGACACAAGCAACTTGTGGTCCTATCTATTCACAGGATGCTCTCGTGGCCAAGCATCTACACAATGGAAATGGCTTAAAGAGGAGTTTGGAGAACTCAAATGGTTAATTTAAACCTCTCATCTCAATGATATTCAGAGTTTGCTGGAGTATACAATGCCATCCTGGTGATTCAAACACAGGGACTCTAACCCTGCACACTGAAAATGGAGGGATATTTGGAACTTAGAATAGAACATTCTCCACATGGAAAACATGTCAGATGGTTAATGCCAATGAGGAATTTCAACAGGCTCCGTAAGCAGCATAAGGCAAAACAGCCACCTCACTAATCACTTCTTCTCTTATTGGCTTAGCAAAATATTTATAAAATACATTTTCTGTGTCATGCTTAATTAAGCCTCTTGGTATTTATTTTTCAATGAGATTCTCTTTGTCCTTACACAAAAAACTGTTACAATAATCAAAGATTAGGAAGTCTAGTTTTTGTCTGTTTATTTACATCTATCCATCCATCCATCTATCCATCTATCTATCTATCTATCTATCTATCTATCTATCTATCTATCATCTATCTATCTATCCATCCATCTATCCACTCATCTACCCACCCACTCATATTTTCATACTGCAGAAGACTAAGAACATCACACAGATTATTATTGACTGCAATAATGGAAAACAAATTCTACAATCTTCTGCCTGTGCCCTGATATGTGACCTTTCTTTTCACATAATTTTTAGTGATCTTTCTTGAAAAGCGTGTGCATCCAAAAAAATGTGACTTACAATGGAGGAAGTAACTTATTTCCTATACAAAATAAACTATCAGAAAAGATGGAAAGTTCAGTGGAGACTGATGACCTTCTAAATGGTTTGCATGAGAGCAAATAATTCCAGGGTGTTTCCTGGCTCTCCAAGGTCACAGTAATCAAGGGGCATGTGAAGATGTAGAAAACTCCATCATCTTGGAAGATTATCTCAAATACAGAATGTGAATAGGAAGGGCATTGAAGTATAACAGAAAGAATTAAAAACAAAGTGATACTTTCACAAGGAAATTCACAGCACCAAGAAAAAAGTGAGTTGTGAACCTATGTGGCTACTCATATATTCTTCAGGAGTTCACGTGCTGTCTGAGACCAAAGTGCCTGGGTGATAATCAGGGATGGTTAGTCCTCCCGTTCTCTGGATGCTAGTTTTGCTCAGAAATAGCAAGGACCAGATGCCCAAGTCTTTCACTGGATCCTGCAGAACGGATTAGCTGTATGCGTGTGCAAGAAAGTGAGTGTTGAGTTTGCGAGATGAAGGGTAAGATTTGAACCTGTAATAGATGCATTGAAGCTGTTTCCTGCTTGGAGATGACTCCATGTCTAATAGTGGCTGTTGCTGTGTGAGTTGTGTTTTCCCAGAAGATATGTTGACGTCAGTATCTATAACACTTGGTATCTGTGAAGGTGGCCTTATTTAGAAGTAGCATCTTTGGAGTTACAAAGTTAATTGAACAGGGTACCTAAATGCAATGTCAGTTTCCCAGGGGGTTGAGGAAGAGAGATGTTGAGGCTGATGTGGAGACAGTCATGAAGGAGGAGGACTTGTGTGACCACAGACCCAGAGACTATGATCATGTCACTACAGCCCTGGGATGCCAGGAATTGCTAGAAGCCACCAGATCTTTGGAAGAGGCAAAGGAGGATTTCCCCCTACAACAGTCTTAAAGGCAACACGGCTCTTCTAACTCATTGATTTCAGAGTTCTATTGGGGAATAACAGAGTTACCAATTTATTTTTATTTCAACAACCTTAGAAAACTAATTCACTGGCTGAAGTATAGACTTGAGGCCTTTTGTTATTAGCAGTCCAAGGTTGTCATTAGCGACCAACCAAATTTAACCAATTTGACCCAAGGGGGTGTTGAAAATTAAGGAAATCAACACTGGGGTTGTGTGTATGAGGGTAGATTTGTGAAGACTCCTTTGTGAAGTTAGAAGGAAGTTAGTCCTAGAAGTTCAAATGGCCTTTTAACGAAAGTCATATCACTTGAAGTAGATCTCAGGCAGGGCATGATATGCCATGCTTCATAAATGTCCTCCAATCTGTAATTTGACAACTTAACCCTACACTGCCTGGAGTGGGATAGGAAGCTGGAATGGACATTCCTGATGGTGGTGCCTTTGTACCCATTGGTATCTATGTGAGAAGGAAGATTTTTTTAGTATAAGGGTAGAGTTCAGTTACTCTCTCAGTGTTCCTGAGACCTACTCAAGAATATTTCATCACGTCTGCTTGGGATGTGAGTCAGTGGCAGAGTGCTTACCGAGCATGTACAAGGTCCTAGGTTCCATCCCTAGCACTCCTAAATAAACAAAACAATCACTAAGCAAAAAGGAAGTTCTCTTGAGATCCTGTCCTGGCCCCCCCTTCCTCTGAGGTCCCCTAGGGACCTTCTGAATCAGCTTAAACACAGGCGTCTGTGCAAATCCCAAGGTAGGCATCCTTCTGGGAATAACAGAGGTAAAGGTCAAGAGGAGGTCAGGGTATACTTATATTCTTAGGGCCACTGTCTTAGGTCCTTAACTTCACTGAGATATCTTTTTGTTGTTGTTGTTAAAATACATGCATTTAATTTCTTCCCAGCACCAGGAGCCCCAAACCCAGGCCAACCGAGGTTCCCCATGAGGGCAGCATACCTTCTGAAGAAATGCACCCAGATCAGAATGGTATATGAGTCTGTCCTATTCTGGCTCTAGAAGAGAAATGTTACAATGAATAGGTGGGTGGGGTCTGCTCGACAATTGCAAAATCACCAAAATAGAAGCAAGATCTAACCAGGCAAAACCTATCTTTATCAGGGTAGGTTTTATTCTTAACAAAGCTTGATGTTCACTTCCCCAAAAGACTAAAAAAAAAAAAAAAAAAAAAAAAAAAAAGAGTTGAAAGGAAACTCTGCAAACACATTTATTATTGTGAGTGAATTACATATCACAATTAGTTTGTACTCAATAATTATATGAAATTAGTAAACTAGAGCTATTTACTCTGGGTCACATTAGATGCTTATGAAGCAATGTTGACTGTCCTAGATCCTGACATGTTTTGCTGATTCATTTCCTCTCTTCTTGGTCCTCATTTAAGACAAAATTCTTCTTCCAAAGATTTATGTGGCCACTGATGGGTATTTTAATAAAATGGAACGGTGGAGTAGAGTAGCAGGTTCACACACTCCACACTCCACACCTGCATCCCGGACTCCTCTGAGCTTTTCTAGTCCATTCTAAATATGTGTAGAGTAGGCTAGGCGAGGAGAGGGATACAGATCCATAGAGGGAAGCAATTATTTGTTTACATTATGAAATAAGCCTTCCCAAAGAGCTCTCCCTGCTTACACCACTGGTGGCTACCACACTTTTGTCTCCCACCCCCTGCTAAAGCCGAAGGGTTACTTTTGCTCCCTGTCATCAAAAATGCCTTTCCTTTATCACTATGCATTCATTCACTGAAAAAAAAATCATCTTTTAGGGATGGATGAGTCTCTGCGGTGGAGAGGAGTGCAGTAGCTCATCTGACTGTGTAAGGTCTTGGATGTGTTAACAGAGGAGAAACATTCTCTCCTTTCAGGTAAATCATACGATATTTTAAACAAGTGTCTAGGATTTCTAAATACAAGGTTTAATCCTGCAGCAGAAATTTGAGACAAAGTAGGAAGCCACAGTCATAGGAAATGGTGTGAGTATTTTGGAGCTAAAGGGAACTTCTCTGTGGTCTTCCATGCTCAGCATCAGCCCGGTTCACAGGATGGCTCTGATTTCGTGGTGAGAAGCAATGCGTGTTTCTGGAGATCACTCCCCTAGCAGCAATAAATACTTCATTTCTGACATCCTAGGACACTTGCTTCAGATGAGTCATAATAAATTATTTCTCCCTTCCAGGCAGAATACTATTTGTGGCATCTGCAAATTGGGAAGAAAGCATTTCTTTCCTAGAGGGAAGCACTGTGACGAGGAGAAAGGACAAATTACACACTCAGGCATGCACATGCAGCCCTGCGCCAAATCCCCTGCAGTCTTTATTCTCCTTAAACTACCTGTTTGCAAATAGCATTGGAGGATTAATCTCACCAAAACTGCATCTGCTTCTGTATCAGATGTTTGTTAATCCCTACACTATATCACAGAAATAGTCCACAGTATGTACATCTGTGATTGTACGCACTTTTGTGCCTTAACCACAGAACAGACAAAAACAGCTTACTAACACATCTAAAGCCCTGCGTGTGTGCCTCTGTGAAGCCAAAGTCATTTAGCAGTCATGATTAACAGACAACCCTGGAAAATATTTAGACCGTAACATTTTAATACAACTCTAGTGTTGCTGGGTTCACCATCAGACAGGTATAGTATTCCCTGGAGCTAGCACTTATCAAAATTGCTATGTCACAAAGCTCTTTCCCAAGCTCTCACATTAAGCCAGGTTATGCTTACAATACCAGACAAGATGGGCCCTGCCATTCCCCGCCCTCTCCCCCATTTATAAATTGGAAATAGAGCCACGGCCAGGTGCCAAGTTACTCAGGCCTCAGTGGTGGCGTGGGTCTCCTGCACTGCAGCCTACCTTTGACATCAGTGCTCAGATATGGAGTCATTCTTATTGCCATAAAATGGACCTGCTGTAACAGTCTTAAGTAGTTTTTGTCAACACTGCTTCTTGAGAGCTTGGATGTGAAGACAGTGAAGACCTAATTTCGATAAATTTTAAAGTCTTAGCATCCTCAAAAAAGGATTAATCATGAAGATGTTGTGGTGCAAATCTAGTCTTTTATTAAACAACAAAGCAAGCTTGCACCTAAGGCAACAGTACGCTGCAGGTCAGAAATGGGTGTTCTCAATGGGTGTTGTGTGAGGCTTGAGAGCATCCCAGAAGCCGATCATGAGAGTCTGGGTATTTGCAGGTTCCTCACCAGAGAATGTAAGACTCAAGGGAAAGTTGGAGAAGAAATCAGGGTGGGGGTGTTAAGGAAGGGTTAAAAATCAATGTCATCTGGGGCTGGAGAGATGACTCAGTGATTAAGAGCATTGGCTGTTCTTCCAGAGAACCCAGGTTCAATTCCCAGCACCCACATGGCAGCTCACAGCTGTCTGTAACTCCAGTTCCAGGGCTTTTGACACCCTCGCACAGACATACAGGCAGACAAAACAACAATGAACATGAAATAAAAATAAATTAAAAAAAAACAGTGCCATCCATGTGAATGATCACATTATGTTTTCATACGTGTACAGAAAAGAGGACCCAAACAAAATACCCTTTCTAAATGGGGTCAATGCTTGCTTAGCCACAGGTATGTGAATGACACCAACCCTAGTTTTCCATAGTTATTCTTGGGGGTCTTTAGCTCACAGTCATCTTAATACACTCACCTGATAGCACCAGGCCCCACCAGGACTTTGCCTAAGGCTAACTTTTTTGTGTTTGCAAATCCACTAGGGTTTCAAAAGATGTCACCTGCACAACATTGCATCTTCAGCAGGGACTTGGAAAATCAAAAGCTGATAGTCCGTCTCAGGGTAAGAAGAAATGCTTTTCAACAGGCAAACATGATTCTCCTCACCCAATATGAGCATGCTCATTGGCATACCTTTTCCCTTTGCCTCATCGGGAAGCCAACATTTTAAAATTCCAGGTTAGCAGGTCAGGTGAAGTATGATTCAAACGCCTTAGCGATGCCGATTGGCACTTGGGAGTGATACCCAAGGTAAGGATTCAGCATTGACGCAGTCGTGTCCCCCCGTCTCTAATTATGTCTTGTGCTTTAAAAGCAATACCTCTCACTGTCGAGAAGCGAGGTAGATTTTCCAGTGATTGTTCTAACTGGCAACTGGACTTAGAATTTCCATCGCCTTTAGGTTTCAGGCTTCGAACTTGAAACGGCTCCTAACAAAAAAAACCGCACTGACCTAAATCTGACCCTTGACCTCTCCCCAAAACTGGTGGGGAGAGGGAGATGGTGAAGGCAAGTGGCCCACGATGAGCTAGGGGCCACCTCTTTCCTCAATCGATGTCAAGCGTGTGTGACTTTTGCTTCCCTGGGTTGCCTGAGCTGTTTAAAGAGAGCTAGGCTGGTAATAGAGGGACAGTCCAAAAGACATTAAATTCAAATTGGAAATGGGGAAAAGAAGGGACTCTGACACACACACACACACACACACACACACACACACACACACACACACACACACACAAACCCCACAAAACTTCACAAAGGTCTAGTCCAAATCTCAGTGTTCTGGAAGGATGTGCGCAGCAGTGTTGATTCTGACACATGGACAAAGGCTGTGTGTATGCGGCCTCACATTGGTGAGGATCTAAACTAACGCCTTGGTGGGGATTAACATTTTACACAGCCGGAAAGAATGTGAGGAAGCGAAGGGCTTTTTCCCACCGACAGAACAACATTGCTCTAAAAGCAAGCTCTGTCCACCTTTGGAATACTAGACTCACGCTCAGCCCTAAGGAAAACAGAAGACATTTTATCAGCGCGGCTGTCTCCACTCAGTAAACAAGCCTGCCTGTGCTCCTCTCGGCATACAGAAACAGACGGTGTTGACCGAGGAGGAGACACAAGTACAGTTAGTTGTTTGCCAGTCAGAACAAGTGTACTGAGTCCTGAGTGATCGCCACTGAGCGTGGCTTTAAGGACTGTACTGCCAGGGGAGAAAAGAAGCACGGGATGAATAAAATAACAGAGTGAGGAGGCAAACTGACAGCCTTCTCGTGATTTCCATGTTGTCTCCTTGATCAACAGCTACCTGTGCTTGTCATTTATTTACTCAGGCAGGGCTGGTTAGGCACAGCATTCAACAAGTAAATGCTTTGCTGACCTGGAAGAACACACTATTCGCATTTAAGGTCAGGGTATACTTATATTCTTTGACCTACTGTTTTGTGTCCTTAATAATAATGCCTTGGCTAGTGCCCCCATATAACAGTAATTTTGCTAAAATACACAGAATTCATTTCTTCCCAGCACCATGAACCCCAAGCCCAGGCCACTGAGGTTCCCCATGAGGGCATCATACCTTCTGAAGAAATGTGCCCAGATCGGAAGGGTATATGAGTCTGTCCTATTCTGGATCTAGAAGGGAAATTCAAAGCATCCTCTGTGTGTGTGTGTGTGTGTTGGTGTGTGTGTGTGTGTGTGTGTGTGTGTGTGTGTGTGTGTGTGTGTGTGTGAATGATTGTGCTGCTAACCTTCAAGGGTTATTCAAATATTTTCTGAGAATTGGCTGTTTTGGGTTCCCTCTTAGAATACCATGTGTTTCATTTTTATGCAGAGCTGATGACAGGCTAGACATTCCAACAGGAGTTTAGTTAATTTAACCAATTCCTATCGGGAGAAGCAAAGTAACGGGGCTCAGCCCATCCCAGGCAAGGGATTTTCCTTCTCCCATAGCGGAGAAGGCAAAGCAGACTAGGAGGCTTTGCAAATGGACAAGTTTAGAAATAGTTTTGAGATTCTGCTTTGCCAAGTGTTTCATAAAAAAAACTCTTTCCTTTCTATTTCATGCCAAAAAATGTCACCCCCTAAATATATTTTTCCCATATCTGGCCACATGTCCAGGATTTTTTTCTTTTCCAAGAATAAATAATTTTTTCTGGGTTATAAAAATGTCACTTGCTCTATCAGATTAAACACATCTTAATATAGAAAAAGCATTTGAAACATCCCGTCAGTGGGTCTAAGAAGGC